TTGTTATGATTCTTTGAAAGTTTTTGAGAATCTGTGTTTGTTATGCTTTCACTTAAAAACGTTTGGACAGATTTGGTTGAAATTTGGGTATGTAGATAAGTAAGATCCTGGCCTAACACATAGGCTGATTTTTATCAACATACCATGCAGGCAAAGCAGCTAGCAAATGGCCAAATGCTAGTACTAAATAACTGCAGACTGTATTATTTAGCACGCTTTAAATGCCGTTAGAAGAATTAACCTTTTCGTTCGGCCTTGCAAGCTACGTCTAAAGTATTGCAATAAAATTATTATTTAGACACTTAGTACTAAGACACACCTAGCTCCAATAGTGGTATTAACTAAAGAACTACTTGACATGTAAAGTTTTTAGTTATATTTTTTTATGTCATATTTAATTTCGTTCAAGAAGTTCTGAATACAATTCTAAAATTTCATTTCAGAAAATGGGCGACTTATTACCTGTAAATATTTTGTCATTGGATGATTTCCCTTAAAAAAATAATGTAAAAAAGCTCCCGAGGCATTTAAATAACAACTTTTCGCGTTAATGCCCGCTTATTAATATGTAGTTCGCCCATTACTCTTCCTAACACACATTAACAAATTGATTCACTTTTGACATTTACAAAAATATTGACTTTATTTATGACTAGCTACTCTATTTGATCGTAACGTGATGTTTTATAGCCTAATAGCATTCGGGAACATTGTAGCTATCTATCAGTGAAAGAATTTTGGAAATCCGACCAGTGGTTCCAAAGATTACCCCCTACATACAAACTTACAAACTTACAAATTTTACCTCTTTATAATATTAGTTTAGATTTTATTGGACAAAATCCTTGCATCATCATTGTTACACACTTAAAAGTAACTGTGCAACATGAACGATTCAATGTATTCAAATACTGCCAACCGGATCTGATTCATCATTTAATAATTAATATAATTATGATTGACACAGTAACTGTCCATTGAAGACTGTGAATTAAAATTACTTTTAGAAAATATGTAGCTTATGTGATAACATGGTTGTGTAATTGAAGGATAAAATTAGTTGATTTGAATAATAATGTGTGCCTAACTATTTTTTCTTTAAGTGATAGAATGGCATACGATCATGCGTATTACCTGATGGTAAGCAATCAGTGCGTTGGCGATCTTTTGGAGATTTAGGAATTAGGGTGGGATTCGGGAAGGTTTGGGTTTCCGGTGTTGACGTTTTGGTGATAAGGGTTTTGGAGATTTAGGAATTAGGGTGGGACTGGGGAAGGTTTGGGTTTCCGGTGTTGACCTTTTGGAGATAAGGGTTTTGGAGATTTAGGAATTAGGGTGGGACTGGGGAAGGTTTGTGTTTTCGGTGTTGACCTTTTGGGGATAAGGGTTTTGGAGATTTAGGGATTAGGGTGGGATTGGGGAATGGTTTGGGTCTCCGGTAAGCTCACGTATAGGTACGGCGAAACAACGCTGTGGTTGTTTCGCGCTGGTTTTCTGTAAGGCCGTGGTATCACTCCGGTCGAGCCAAATTATTCGTGCCGAAGCTTGGCTCTCACTACACTTGAAAAATAATCTTTTCACATACTTAAATGGTTTAAATACTGATGTCGTCGTAAGATTGGAAAAAGAAAGTTATGATACTGGCTAGAAAGTAGACTTTTTAAATAGAATAAAAATATAAATATGTCTTCATAAAAATCGGTCTGACTTGACTTGTAAGGTACTAACAAAAAATAATTCTTGTATTCTTGTAAATTCTTATATTAGAATATAACCACTAGAAACTTGATATGTAAACTCGATGTAAGGTCACGCTTAGAAGGGTCTAAAGAAGCTATTAGGTAAACAAATTCAACCAAACATTGGCACAATCTGGAATCAAATCTAATCAAGCAGCCTCCGTAACAATCCTACAAACCACTCTCAACTAGAACTTGTCCAAACTTGTTTGAAACATAAATATACAGAGTATTATTACAAAAAGATGTCCCCGTATCGCACTTAACATATACACACATACATTATTATTATAGATAAGCTTGTTTTATCGCATTTTTATCGATAGGTAGTTTAATTGCTACGATGATACAAAATGAATGGATATAAATATTAATTAATTTCACGTGTCACTCGCTTATCGTGTGTTCGCGAAAATTCACGAAAATTTACATAAAACAGCATATCAAGTTAATCGTTTAGGCAGTTTTAAGAGATTTGTAACTCTATTGTTTTGAAATGAAGTCTTTAATTAAAATTGAGTCTATAATCAACGTCAAAACCAAATTATATAGAATTGTAATTTTAAGAAAACGAAAAGAGAACAGATTATTGTTTATTTTTTTTTAAGTAAATAAATAGGAAACTAATGAGTAGGTATAGAAAGAAGTTTCTTTAGGAAAGCTGTTGTCACTAATTCTGAGTCACCCTATATAAGTAAAGCGTTTAAAATTAAATCCAAGAACATCAGCTATCCAAACTAAACCTAAAAAAGTACCTGACTATGAAAATTTCAAAAAAATATCGTTCATACTTCAACATGGTACCCAGCTGTGATAATGATATTTTCAGATAGATTCTACATAATAACGTAAATGTGTATTATAATGTATATGTAATATAATTAAATAAAAATAAAAACAAGTAAGTCCGCTTTAAAACTATTGTTTATGTATTCATATAGAGGAAATTATGCAATTCAATGTTATTTTTATTAACCAGTTCATCTTATGAGCCTTTGTTATCGACATTTTACTTATTGTATTTAAGAAGTATAAGCCAAGCCCACTGCTGAGTAAAGATCTCTTCACACACGGAGTAGGTTTGAGCATCACCACACTCACCCGGGGCGGATAACTCGATTCCTATATATAAGTTAGAGTTCCTTTTCGATGGTTTCATTCAACGTATGTCAGTGGTGTCTAAATAATTATAGAAAGTATGTACTTAGAAAACTCACATTGATACATGCCAAGTTTTGTACCCTCATGCACAAAAAACGTTAACACCTAGGCCACCACGACGGTTTATAAGAAGTGTACAGGTCAAACAAATGTATCCTTCCAACCAACTCAACAGTAGCATTAGAGTCAAAAATAAAGCGGCCATTAACATATAAATTAAAAAAATCAACCGATGGCAACTCAAACACGATTCGTTAACATTGGCCCAGTAGAAAACGGCGCGGCGTTTTAAAACAGATACCGTTTGCATGTAATAAAAAAAATCTTGAGTAACATGAAGGCCAAACCTTTTAAAAGCCAAGCCCTTTTAAAGGCCGCTCTTAATGGACTTGGTAACAATGACAGGCCTGCAAATGAAATTTTAATAATAAACTAGAGTTGTGTAGTATTTCTATACTTATTTTCCACCAGTCCACACCCGTAACCATATAATTTTCTACCATATTGCACAATAGCCCTGCATCAACCGGGGATTGTACTTGGATGATTTTTATAGTGCATACAGGGATAATTACTGGGTGATGTCCCATTACATTTGGATTAAAACTGTCCAACGGGCCTCCGCGAGTTGGCTTTGGCCTACGCGTACGCCTTCCAAAGCTCCGGGATCCTGTGATTCCGTGAAAGGAAAGAACTATAGTTAATCTAAGGCAAAGTTAGACTTGTAACAACAAGTGTAACAATATGGTGGAATTTAATTTTTATTTTAGTGCGCGACGCTTTTTTTACGAGTGAGTGGTATCGTATGTGTGTGTGCGAATCGTTACTCGTACGGACGAGAAGGTCAGGGTCACACAAATTGGTCTTTCATTATCTGACTACAAAATGACACTCGTTTTTTTAAATACTTTTTTTTTCATCTGTGTTTTTTTTCTCTTTGTCAGAATTTAGTAACGCAGTTCCATTCGATTTTTAAAATGATTATATTTCTGTTTGTTTATTTTTTTGTTAATTATTACAGAAATTTATTAAAAAATGAAATTCATGGGGAAGGTATTGAATCACACACAAAACTCAATATTCAATACAAAATTTGATATCTGCGTAATGAATTTACACTCGAACACGCTTGTTGTTTTCCAACAATACGAAGTTAACAAAAAACGGTTCGACAAATATATTTACCAACCGGCTTACTTTAATTGAATATTCTGAAGAGCCACCGCAACGACGGAGAATTTCAAAATAAAAAACTCTCTATTTTTCGTCGTTTATTTTTACTCTCGCCTTTATTATTCTGACCCCGTAATATATTAAATTTACTTTATTTTTCAATATTCTCATCGCTCTTTTTAATATTATGAGTTGATAATAATTTGATTGGCAGACTTATAAAGTCTTCCAACTTATAAAACATTCAATTATTTCAACTCGGAGGGTAGTTCGAAGTGCTACGATTCCTCTACGTCGGTAGTTTCGCCTACGCGCGTAGCCCGGGCCCCTGCAACGCCTACGCGAAACGTAGCTCGCTACGAGTGTTTGTTTTTACTGACGTCACAGTAACCACAGGCTACATTGAAGCCCTACTACGTAAACAAATTACACTCATTTGTCTAGTTTCTCGTACAAGTGCATTAGTATAAAAATGAAACGGCTTCAAACACTTAACGGGGTTTTAAAAGTCGTTGGCATTCAGTTTTTATTCTTTGTTCGAAATTAATAAAATCACAGTGCAGAACATGCTATAAACAAAACGATAACACAAACCGCGCGTATTCTGGAGGCACGAATATGTTTAATCAAACGACTAGGTGTCATGTCATTAGTGAGCGAGTAAAACGTACACGTGACTCCGCAAGTGTGAGCAAGACAAGAAATATAGCAACAAGTCGCGGGCGCGAGGCGCGGGGGCGCGTTATCGTGTCCATGACGTCAGGACCCTTTCACTGTCCGAAGTTGCGTTCTGGCGGCAGAGACTTCAGTCCGCGCGGCTCGGTCACAGCGTGAGCACGTCTCGCGCTTAGTGTTCCTAAACTTCTCCGACGCACGCGTCACTCGTTAAAAGAATACGTAAAATATATCGAAGCCAACTTTCGTCAGGAAAATAGTACACACGCAAACGGCCCGCTCGGTCCTCCGTGTGTTACCGCTCCTGTTGCTCCTGTTAGCTTCGGATCTAAACTCCTGACTGAGTCCACCAGCAGAATGGGCGTCATCAAAGTGAGCCCGGACACCGCGGCCCTATACTCCGCCTGCGACTTGCTCGACGACATGAAGGTAAGTGTTACGAGAGAAAATCATGTGATGCCCAAACCTCCGATGGCGGCGTTCCAAGCGACCAGTTCCGTGTTAGTGAAAAAATATAGTGAATCGATGCGTGGGCGCAGACATCTGTCTCGTCGTTCTCGTCAATTTACGCGACGACGTTTCGCGTAATTCTAAATGTTATGCGCTTTTACGCGATGGTATTCGGCGCGGCGCACACGCCGTGCCAGGCGACTTTATGCAGATCGCGCGCGTTTTCTAGCCGCGGTGAAAACTCGTGTCGTTCGGTCAACGGAAGCGGTTGCCCTTATCAGTTGTTTGTGACATGATTGCTATAACTAGAACTGCTACGTGAGAACATTCACACAGTTTTAGCTCACGATTTAGTGCGTAACTCACGAACTGTGGCGGTAGTCGAACAAATACTCGCTAAATTATAATGGAATATTGTAGTTGAATGCTTTGCTTAATAAAACATCTTAGGACGGTAGGTAGAGAAGAATCGATCCAACAATTGCCTAATGCTCTTTATTGATAGTATAGTCTTGTACGTACCTACATATAACAATGGTTCATGGTAATAAAACCATTGGAGCTTGTTGCAAACGACGCGGACATCGAATGAACCACGGTGACGCAAAATCGTTAAAAATTGTTTTGTTAATATGGATTTTCGATGTGTGCCTATCATGTAATGATTATGGTTTCGAATGCGTGAAAAGTTTCTATGTATAAAGCTGATGTGTAGTGCACGGTGGAAGATCGCGTCGTAGTTAGTAACAATGTTACAATATGCGTAAATCGAAGGAATTTGTGTCTAGCCAAGTGTGTTGTGTTGCACGCAATGCTTAGCAACAGTGCACGCTCGGTGCGCATGCGTCGAGGATTCCTAGTGGTTAATTTTCTTTAAAGTTTCAACAAGTCAGATTTATTGCGTTTTCATGGTCAAAATGAGAATGTATACAGAAATAAATATTGTTACGAATAAATATGAAACGTAGTGCTCTCTCATTAAGATATTATTTATCGTGACAATAGGTAAAAATGTAGTCGTATCATTTACATATTAACGTAATAAAAATTCATTGGTATCGAAAGATAAATGCTTTTGTGTGCGTTCCAACATATTGATATTGTTAGTGTCCGTATTGGCTTGGTTACCAACATTGACGCTTTTTTTCTTTTCTCGACTTTTTTATTCTAGTTGCCTAACTCGAGTTTGTTGGAATTGATTGCTTTTTAGCCTTTATGCTTCAATGGCTATCTATTGAAAACAATCGCTCAGTGCAAGGCAGACGTTAAAATATGACGCCATTTTTTTTCTTTATCATGATTAATACGAAGTTATAAATTCTAGAGAGACTAATTAAAAAGAAAAATTAAATAAATATTAATATAAACCTTGGCCGGTTTTCAATTCGAAAAGTATATTCGATATAATAATTATTATTCTATTTTCTTTTAGTTTTTCTTTTTTTTATTTCATTACATTCTAATACCTGTATAAGTTGATATTTTATAAAGCTACTAATGCAAATCATTGTTGAATGAAGAAAATTTACATGTGAACACAACACGTGAACGCGTGGGATATATTTCAATGCCATTTTATTTGAAACATTTTTTAAATATCACATCTATATTTATTGAAATTAGATTCAGTTGCTTCTTTGTCTGTTTTTATTTACGAGTTTCTGGGATAATAATATCATAAATGTCTTAAGTGAAACTAGCTCGTTTCTTTAATTTAGCTTTTATGTTCTTAAAAACAGGATCTGGATTTGATTGTAAATCTTTGTTTAATGTTCCTTTATTAAATTTATTAGCATATTCAGCTACGGATGCACCCAATTAGTTGATTCTAATACGCAAGTTCATCGGAATTTACATCAGCTGTTTAGAAACACAATGTAGATTACACAAAAATATGCTATAATAATGTTAGGATAAATAAAGGAAAATAATATAGGTGTTTTTCGTTATAGAAAATAGATAAAATTAACAAAATAATGTCGATCCAACAAAATTAACAGTATGTTCTCGTAAATAAACAAGATATAAAAAAATAAACTACATCAGTATTATTGCAAGTCAAGCGTAATAATTTGACGGGGCCCTATTGGGCTGATGTTCAGCCGGGGTTGCGGGGTAAGCATTGCGCTTACCCCGCAACCCCGGCTGAACATCAGGCACCGCGACCTCGGCCCAGAGCAGGAGCAGGAACAGGGGGGTTTTTAGTCAGTAAGAGTCTGAAACTCCCTCCCACCCGGCCCTGGGCGGGAGAAGTCATTTGATGATTTCCCCTCACAACAAAAACGTAGTAATTTACCTCGGTCCTTCGCAGCAGAAGGAACATGGCTGTTATCAGTGGTAAAAGTTTACGCCCCTCAAAAAATAACTTCATTCAAGTCTTGTACCATAACATATAATATGTTGATCGTTGGTATCTGGTCCTTATTGAAATGTAGATTAAGTAAAGGCTACCTAACCCCTTCGTCCTAATCGGGTCATATTGAACATTCATCGTTACATATTTATGGAAAGTACATAGTCCAAGCGACGCTGTTGAGGAGTTTCTTACGATGTTAAGGACACGGCCCTTCAAGTTATCCTACAACTGACAAATAACTTTCGACTTTGATATCTAATGGTAAGGTTGAAAGTCTTTTCAAGAAATAAGACTTATTTGGTTAGTTTGACGAGCTGCTGTCTTACGCCCGGTTCCTATAATTGAGAAACGATCCGTTTTAATTACGAATAGTAGTTTTATATACGACTCGTAAGCTAAAACCGTTCCTATAATAAACGTCTCGTCGTGCAACTTACTGACGGTTTGCAACTAACGGATATCGGTAAGCGAATTGTATGGAGATCTATGGTGTCTGTGGTATTCCTATAAATATTTTAACCGTCAGTAGACGGTCAAGATAACTATTCGTAATGTCATTTGGTCGTAATGCGTATACAACGACGATTCGTAAAATATAGGAACCGGGCATTAAATATTTACCTTCTTCGTACAAGCACGTCAAGCTATCCTTGTCCTGTCAAATAACTTTCGATTGTATTGTCTGACAATAAGGTTGAAAGTCTATTCATGAAATAGCAGAGATTTGAGTAGCTTGATGAGCTAGTGTCACCCTCGGTACGTGATGCAGGTCAATTTTCGTTGAAAATTGTTGTTGATATTTTAATGTGGCAGTTGCAATGAAGGGACAGTAATTTAGTTTTTACCTAATACTTATATACTACCTAATACCTTTTTTTGTCAAGGGAAAATCATCAAATGACTTCCCAAAAATCTCTCGTTCCTTCGCCCCGGCCGAGGCCGCGGTGCCTCATTGCGTTTACCACGTAACCCATTTTTACCTTAAGCGCGCTTCGTGGTCTAACGTAGCCTCAGACTCAAAACTTAAGCATTTTCTATATTACTCGGAGTTGCGGATGCAGGTAGAATGTGGGTCGTTATGTGTTTTGAAACAATTCAATGTCGCACCGCGCCGTGCATCGCGGCCTCGCGTGCGCGCCTGTAAAAGAGCAGGTTTCCATTAATAATTTTTTTTTTCTATTTATTGTCACGGTGTTTTTGTATTTTATTTGTCGTGATTGACTGATTTTCTTTGAATACTAAATTCCGAGTAAGTTTATCAGAATCTGTTATCAAGTTTTAGTATTTCAAGTTAGGGTACATTTTACATAGTCATCCAAGAGACGCGAATCAGAATTTTGAGAAAAGTGACTTTAATCAACAAATAGAGTGACAGACTATTGTTCAATTTTAACGTTTCAAAAATACTTTTTGAATGGTGTAGTTGGAATAAATGTTAATGAATTTTGGCTGTAGTTGTGCCTTATATTATAACAATAGGCTACCCCTATATTACATAGAACTAAGAATAACATAGCTGGAAAATAATTGTGTTTATCAGTAAGTAAACAACATGTGGCACTTCATACAATGTTTCCGACTATTTTTCATCTTCCAGTCAGTAATTTCATAGTTTTGTCATTTTTACAAAAAAATCCTTTCATTTTGCCTTTTAAACATACATATCTGTTATAAAAGCCTTTTATAAAGCCTAGTCCTAAAACATTACTAAATATGTAACTAAGCATTATGTTCATAATATTAAATTGTTGGCTCTGTTATCAAACGATTTGAAGTAATCACAATCATTATAAAGGAAATTTGTAGTCATTTCAATAATTATCACTTTCTACATATTTGGGTGAATCTGTTATGTTTGTACAACGAAAAATGTTATTCCCTGGTAGAAAATAGGGTTTTATCTAGTTCAATATCAACGGACCCTGACATCATACCTACTGAAATTTTAACACAGCTTAACAAAAATTCTTTAAACAAATTAGTCACGTGCTAGAACTTCAAATAATCACACAAAATGTCTGTTTCGTTCCCTGCATGCCCCTATCTATGGAACTAGTAGATGGATTTAAATGACTTTTTGTTTTAATAAGATCTGGGTAGTATAAAAAATGAGGTTGTGAGTTCAAGCGTAGTACGCGCCCCGTGGTGGAGCAAGAGAAGGAACAGCGTGGGTTATAGTCAGTAAGAGTCTGACACTCCTTGCCCCACCGGAGCGGCGAAAGGTGTCATTTTATAATACGCTCCCCTGAAAACAAAAAACATATTAAGTGTAATTTAATTTGAATTTTTTAACATGAATTCAGCCTATGTCACTATTCTTCGCGGAAGATATTGCAGGACGAAGCTAGTTACCAAAAAAAGCGAGATACCATTGCACATCTATTTGAACATGTAAAATCCCACGTGAACTACGTGGACGTGAACAGGTAATTTCTCAGATGAACTAGGGTAGCGGAGGATTTGCGTTCAATCATTATCTGTCGCCAGTGAAGGCTGAAAGTAACACAAAATAATAAACAATTCTTTGTCAACATTGCGTTACTAGCACTAAAGCATAACGTTAAAATACTACACAAACAACCTAACATAGGTACTATGTATGAAAGTAAAAGTAGAATACAAC